GCGCGGGCCGTTCGGGAGGTCGCCCTGCGTTGTGAGCGCGCGTGGGACACGGCGCGGCTAAGGGAGTGGCCCGCGTCGCACGCCGCGCTGCTGGAGCCCCAAGCGCGGGCGCTGGCGCTGGCGATCGTAAAGGCGATCGACGGGGAGTTCGGTGAGACCGACGCGGCGACGTTGTTGGCCCTGATCGCCGACGGGGATGCCGGTAAGGCGGTCGCGCTGTTGCGTTGGCCTGCCCGGCCGGTGAAGCCCAATCCAATCGAGGAGGTCCTGGCGAATCCCAAGCTCGCGTCCCTCGCCGTCTCACTGAAAACGCCGACCGCATCGAAAATGGTCGAATTAGCGGCGAGGCTGGGCCAGTCCGCCGACAAGTCGGCGTCTCTAACTCGCAGCGTCCAACTGTGGCCCGCCGGTACGAATCCTGCGATAGAGCGGGTCACTGAGGCCGGGCAGGCCGCGGAACGCCTTCAAGTCGCGTCGCAGGCGTTTCGGAAATTGCAGGAGACTCGCCTCCCGTCGAAGGCGGAGACAACTGCGAGGCTCCTGGAAACGTTGCGGCCCTGCGGCATGGCGGAGTGGGAATCGCACTCCGGCATTCAGCGGGCCGCCGAGGAGGCGATGCGGTTGGTGGAAGCCAGCAAGCCCCGGCCCGATCTTTTCCGCGACGGTCTCCTGCATCGCGCGGCCGAGCAAGCGGAAATGGAGCGCCGCCTCGCTGTATCAATGCAACCTCGGGTGTCCTACCCTCGCGCTGAAGTGGATCACACTTACACCGAGGCGGTCCGCTACCAAATGGATAGGCGGGCGCCGGACGATCCCGTTGTTGCCGAGCTGCGTCAGCAGATTGCGGCGCTGGAGGCGAAACTAGCAGAATCGCAACGCTCGAAAGAGACTGACGACGCGCCCGACGTGGCGGAAGCGAGAAAGACGACGCCTCCGACCCCGGCGGTAAAGGGCAAAGATATCAATGGCAAGATGCTGAGCGCCCTCAGCAAAGCCGCAGACGACCCCGCGAAGTTGGCGGAGTTGCTAGATCGCAAACAAAGGCAGTGGGCCAAATGCCTTAGTTGCAGCCCGGGGACGGTCGGGGGGACCGCTGCTTGGATACGCATTACCGAGATGCGAGCGACGCAGCAGGCGGCGCGTGTGAACGGCAAGTAATTCCGAGCGCTCGGCAAGCGATTCCGAGCGCGGATGGAAAAAGTTTCAGATTCTTTCGCCGGTATTCACCGGCATTCGGCGGGCTAAGGCGGATGCGCGATCGGCAGATTCCGAGCGAGCGCGGGAATGGTGAGGGGTTACCCGATTCGATGGGTCGCCCCGGTTCACCCCTATCCGCCGGAGCCCACGCCCATGCTCGCCCGAGCAACCACCCGTCCCTACGATCCGCGGCCCGCTGCCGCTCCTACTGACGACGTTCTCACTCCGCCCGAGGCCGCCGCGTTGCTGAAGATCAGCGAGCGGACGCTTTGGAATCTCACCAAGGCCGGCAAGGTTCCGGCCCGCCGCGTCGGGGTCCAGTGGCGCTACAGCCGCCGCGCCTTGCTGGAGGACTGACGCGCCCGAGTCTGCCCGCCCGGCGCCGTTTCTGCGGCCCGCGGCGTTCGGGCGGGTTTTCCATGACCCGGGCCGCGATAGGAGGAGGCCTCCCATGAGGAGCCCCAAGAGACCGCCCGGCCGGTCCCGCGACGTTGGCCGTCGCAGGACGTTGGCCGAGCATCGTGAGCGGTTTGTCGAGCGCTGCCGTCGTCGGCGGCAACTGAGGTTCGCTTTCGACAAGTACCGCGAGGAGTAGTGCGTCGCCTTGCGTCGGTCTAGCCACCGGCGCGAGGTCCCCCGGTCCCCCGGCGCTTCGCAGGCGTCGGGGCGGCCGGGCTTTTGCTGTAACTCGCCTCCCACCCTTCAAGCAAGAAACCGAGCTATGCAAAGTCTACCCGATACGGCGACCAACACGACAACCCCGGCGCCCGATCCGTTTTCCCCCGAGAGTCTGCGGCTGTCGCAGGACTTCGCGACGACGGGCGCCACCAAGAAACTCTTAACGCGGGTCCCGGTCCGCAAACCTCGCAAGCAAGAGTTTGTTCGGGTCCGGCCGGGCGAGCAGTGGCGGCTCGCCACGGTGCTGCTGGAGGACGAAGTGGCCCGCGAGGTCTACATCGTGGCGCCGGCCCTCCACGCCGAGCTAAGCGACGACGCGACCCCCGCGTTTCTGTTCACGGCGATCACCAAGGCGGGCGACCCGTTCCTGTGGCTGGTGAAAGCCCCCAAGGCCGACGGCTCGACCAACCCCTGGAATGAGTCGGCCCTGGCCGCGACGGAGGAGGCCGAGCGCGGGTGGGTCAAAGTGGTCTCCAATATGGGGGCCGGCATGTACGACGTTCACGCCGCGGTCGCCAACTTCCCCGACCCCGAGTGGCCCGACGTGACGTTCGGCGAGTTGCTGAAGCTCGCCTTTAAGGGACGGCTGATCGACAACCTGGAGCACGACCTGCTGCGGAAACTGCGGGGCGAGATATGAGCCCCGATCGGTTGTACCGCGAGGTCTGGCTGGTGGACTTTGAGTTCCGCGCCGACCCCGGTGAGACTCCCGACCCGATTTGCATGGTCGCCCGCGAGCTGCACAGCGGGCGCACCATGCGGGTCTGGCGCGAGGAGCTGCACAGCATGACGGCCGCGCCGTTCGCCACGGGCGCCGACACGCTGCTGGTGGCTTACTACGCCTCGGCCGAGGTCGGTTGCTTCCTGGCGCTCGGGTGGCCCGTGCCGGTGCGGATCGTCGATTTGTTCTGCGAGTTCCGCCTGCTGACCAACGGCCGACGGACGATGGCCGGCGCGGGCCTGATCGGGGCGCTGGCATGGTTCGGACTCGACAGCATCGCCGCGGCCGAGAAGACCGAACTACGCGAGCTGGCGATGCGCGGCGGGCCGTACACGCCCGAGGAGCGGGTGGCGCTGCTCGACTACTGCGAGACGGACGTGGTCGCCCTCGCCCGGCTGTGGCCGCGGATGGCGCCGACGCTCGACCTACCGCGGGCCCTGCTGCGAGGCCGCTACATGGCCGCTGTGGCTCGTATGGAACGCGCTGGCGTTCCGATCGACGCCGAGACCCTCGGCCGCTTACGCGACGACTGGGAGCGCGTGAAGCGGCTGCTGATCGCCCGGGTCGATGCGGACTTCGGCGTTTATGACGATGGCAGTTTTCGCTCGGCGCGATTCGACGACTACCTGGCCCGCCGCGGGATCGCCTGGCCGCGCACCGAGACCGGCGCGCTGGCGCTCGACAGCGATACGTTCCGCGAACGGTCCGCCGCGCACCCGGCGCTGCTGCCGCTGAAAGAGCTGCGCGTGACGCTCGGCGAGCTGCGGCTGTTTGACCTGGCCGTAGGACGCGACGGCCGGAACCGCTGCCTGCTGTCGCCATTCCGCGCCCGCACCGGCCGCAACCAACCGAGCAACACGCGATTCATCTTCGGCCCCTCGGCGTGGGTCCGGTCGCTGATCAAGCCGGCCGAGGGTCGCGCCGTCGCCTACATCGACTGGAGCCAGCAGGAGGTCGGGATCGCGGCGGCGCTGTCGGGCGACACGGCGATGATGGCCGCCTACGCCTCGGGCGACCCGTACCTGGCGTTCGCCAAGCAAGCGGGCGCGGTCCCCGAGGAGGCCACCAAGCGCTCGCACAAGGCGGAACGCGAGGTCTACAAGGCCTGTGTCCTGGCGATTCAGTACGGCATGGGCGCCGAGTCGCTTGCCGCGCGGATCGACCGACCGGGCGCGACGGCGCGACAGTTGCTCGACCAACACCGCCAGACGTACCCGACGTTCTGGCTCTGGAGCGACGGCGCCGTGAACCACGCGACCCTCCGCGGCGAGCTGCACACGGTTTTCGGTTGGCGGGTGAACGTCGATGGCGACAGCAACCCGCGGGCCCTCGCCAACTTCCCGATGCAAGCCAACGGCGCCGAGATGCTGCGGCTCGCCTGCTGCCTGGCGTCGGAGCGTGGCGTCATGGTCTGCGCGCCGGTTCACGACGCGCTGCTGGTGGAGGGGCCCGCCGACACGATCGCCGCGACGGTCGCCGACACGCGGGCCGCGATGGCCGAGGCCTCGCGCGTTGTGCTAGGCGGTTTCGAGCTAGCGACCGACGCCGACGTGGTCGCCTGGCCCGAGCGGTACCGCGATCCCCGCGGCGCCCGCCTGTGGGAAGTAATTACCGAGCTGATCGCGGAGCCGCGACCGTTCGCAGCGCAGACGGTTACCGTCCACGGCGCAGACGCCGGGGTCTCTCCTAAAGAGTCTCTTATAGAGATAGGGGGTTAGCTTGCCAGACGGACTCGACACAGCACGACGCGAAGCGGTCGCCAAGATCGCCGAGCGACGCCAACGGGCGCCGTTCATTAAGGGCCCGATCCCGCTGGCCTGGATCACCACGGCGGCGCGGCTGCCCGGTAAGTCGCTGGCCGTGGGCCTCGCCCTGTGGTGGCGTCGCAACCTCACCGGCGACAACCCGGTGAAGCTCACCACGGCGCACAGCCTGCGGTTCGGCGTGCAAACCCGTAGCGGCCGAAAGGCGGCGCTCGACGCGCTAGAGCGGGCCGGCCTAGTGACGGTCGAGCGGGCGCCACCGAAGGCGCCGAGCGTCACGCTGATCGACCTGGACCCGACAACCTCACCAACCTCGCCACCGCCAAGGGGCAGACCATGACGAACCAGCAACGAACCAACCGCTACGCCCGTCGCTTGGTGGAGTGGTCCGACGCCAACCCCTACAAGCCTCGCTTAGCCGCTTCGCTATCGGCGCTCGGCGGGAAGTACCGACCCACCAGCGCCGCGGAGGATCGCAGCATCATGGCCGAGGAGGCCGAGGTGGCGCGGCTGCGGGATGCTGCCGATCAGCGGACTCGCCGCGAGAGCAACGGAGCGACGCCGAGGAGCCCCAGTAGCGCGGCGCTCGGTTCGGGGGCGGGGATCAATCCGGGCGCGGAGTCGAACGCGTCGCGCCAAATGGTGTAGTCAGCCGCATCGACAACACCGTCATAGTTTCCGTCCACCAGCGAGGAAGTTCCCACACTGCCAAATGCGCTTTGCCATTCATCTAAGTCTGAGTAGTTAACCGATCCGTTGAAATCGTAGTCGCCGACTAATGGCAGAACGTCTGCGGCAATCTCGCCAAAAACCACATTGGCAGGGTCACCGTTGTTAGCCGTGATATGCAATCGCAAGTATCGTGCGATGACCGGCGAAAAAGGGAAAAACTGCGCAGTCGTAGTCACAGTGGTACCTCCACCGGCTCGACTGTTGTCGGGGAAGAATTCGCCCAGTTCAGACTGCGGCTCGTAGCTGTCGTTCACAGACGCAAAGAGTGTAAATGCTCCGATCGCTGAATCCTGGCTGCCGAAGTTCCACAGGATGATGCTTTGCACCTGGAACAAGCCGCCTAAATCAATATCGAAATTGCCTGGGACGGGAGGCTCCTGCGGCCCCACTCTGTCAGAGGCATTCCAAATATCATCGTGGGTATAGAAAGCGTGTAGGGGCTTCGTTGCGAGATACTCCGACGTTCGGGTCACTTTGCTTTGGTAGGGGACATGCAATCCCCGCTGTGAGATGGCGTTCTCGGGGCGAGTCTGGGAATTTGTTGGCATATCTGTACTTGCCGCGACGGGCTGTAAGAGAAACCCCGCGGTCGCCGGGCCAACTGCCGGCAGTAGGACTAGGAGAGCTGCGAAAGGGCACCGAAATACGGCCATGAGCAGNNGGCGGCAGTTATGCAATTTGAAGTCGTCAGCAGTCATCGTAGATGATAGCAACGCGACGCAGGGGGAGGGGGCGGGATAATTCCCATGGCGCCCGAGTTCCATACCGAAGCGGTACCTCCGCGCATTTTTTGGCAAAATTCGACCCTTTCAGGAACTGGGCAATACCGATGGTGAGACAACGCGACCCCCGTACCGGCCGGCCCCCCCAGCCGTTGGCGGTTCTAAAAATGGCAGGGACCTACCGCGCCGACCGACACGCGGGCCGTGGCCCTCAGACGGGAGGCGAGCCCCCGCGGAAGCCGGACGGCCTGCCCGACGCAGCATCGTGGCTGTGGGAGGAGATTTGCCGCACCCGCGGCCCGTGGCTCTGCGGGAGTGACGCGGCCTCGCTGCGGACGCTCTGCCTGGCGTTCCATTTCATGCAAGCGACGGAGGCGGCGCTGCTGGAGGACCCGACGGACAAGCTCGCCCGCTGCGCGTGGTCGGGCTATCAAGCCGCGTTCGCCCAACTCGGCGCCCGGTTCGGACTCACCCCGAGCGACCGCGCCCGCCTCGGCGAGGACAAACCCCAGCGCGACGCCGACGACGAACTAGAGGCGATGCTGCGCTGATCGGCGAGCTAGTCGCCGGGGGTAGAGAGAGAGAGAGCGATTCTAATTTTCGACACGGGCGCGACGTTCGATGCCGCTAACCGCTGAAGGGGGCGGCGCCGCCCGACAGGGACCCGACCGGCCCCCGACCTTGAATCACACCCCCAACGCCGCGCAGACTGACGCAGCAAACTGGAGAACTGAATGGCGAGCGTATCCACTGAGACGATCAACGGCCGCAAACGTTACCGCGTGACGTTCCGCGACGCCGACGGCAAGCGCCGCTTCCTCCGCCTGCCCGGCGTGGCGAAGAAAGACGCGGCCGAGGTCGCTTCCAAGGTGCAAGCCATTGTCTCGGCGAGGATCACCGGCGCGCCGCTGGGAAATGCCGTGGCCGAATGGCTCGCGACGATCGGCGACAGCCTCCACGCCAAACTCGCCGCGGCCGGACTAGTCGCCGAGCGGAGCGACGCCACCCTCGGCGACTGGCTCACCGGCTACATCGACGGCCGCGCCGCCAAGGTCACCGCCAGCACGGCGATCAACTGGCGCACCACCCGCGAGAAGCTGGTGGACGCCCTCGGCGAAGGCCGACCCATTCGGACGATCACGGCCGCCGACGCCCTCGCCTGGCAGGAAGGCCTCGCCGACGGCTACGCGCCCGCCACCGTCGCCGGCATGACGAAGAAAGCCAAGCAATTCTTCGCCGCGGCTGTCGATGAGAAGATCATCGACGCCTCGCCGTTCGCCAAGCTGGTGGCCGGGTCGATGGCGAATGAGGACCGCAATGTCTACGTCCCCGCGGCCGACGTGCTGCGGCTGATCGACCTGGCCCCCAACGCCGAGTGGCGCCTGCTGCTGGCCCTCGCCCGCTTCGGTGGACTCCGCACCCCGAGCGAGGCCCTGCTGCTGCAATGGTCCGATATTGATTGGGCCGCCGGCACCATGCGGATCACCAGCCCCAAGACGAAGCGCTACGGCAAAGGCTACCGCACAGTCCCGATCTTCGGCGAGCTGCGGCCGTACCTAGAGGACGCTTTCGACCCGAGCGAGACTCGCTGCGTCCCGAGCTACAGCGGGCGCGGCTGCAACCTGCGAACGTCGCTGGTGAAGCTGATCACGCGGGCCAAGTTGGAACCGTGGGCGCGGCCCTGGCACAACCTGCGGGCCAGCCGAGAAACCGACCTATCCGCTCGCTACCCGCTGCACACGGTAACCGCCTGGCTGGGCAACACGCCGGCCGTCGCCGCGGAGCATTACCTATCGGTCCTGCCAGAGCATCTCGCCTCGGCGATCAAGGCCCCAGCGCCGGCCCGAGTGAAGGCCCGGAAGGGTGGCACAGGGGGTGGCACAGCAGCCCCCGGAATGGGCCGGAAAGCGGCCCTAAAGAGTGTGCCACCCCAACGAAAAAACCCCGGGAAACGCTGTGTTTCCCGGGGTTTAGGCGCAGTTTCAGCTCCCCCGGTAGGACTCGAACCTACGACCCAGCGGTTAACAGCCGCTTGC